AGTCTGACAGGAGCTCCGTTTGGTTACTTGCATTCACTTGTAGATTCGGACTCTTGCAATGAGTGTCATTAGAGCAATCGATCAATTAAAAAAAAAGTAAAAAAGTGGGATTTTTGAACCTGGGTCCAGGTTGCCGACAATTTACGCTTCCAACATCCTCCTAAACGAATGGCTGGTTGAACTGATAGCAGCACTTCAGAATCTGCAATTCAAACTGAATTCCTGCGGCTGAAGGAAGCAATCAACTTGTTTGCCCTGGAATTTGAAACGGTTCGTGGGTTTGTGCCGAGACAACAAACTTAAACCTTCCATAGCCTTCAGCCGTAGAATATAGACATACTACTGTGCTCTGGAGACCTCGACATATATCCATCATTCTTTTTTTATTTATTAAATTCATCTACTCACCAAATTCATACTGATTATATCGCTTACTCAAATAATGAGTTTCGTAATTCGATAAATTAATCCTTAGTCTTTTAGCCAGTAGAAGGGCGTGTGGTCCGAAAGCTCGCCCGCGTTTATTAAAAAGAAACTCATCTTCCTTCTTGTTTTATTTTATTTGATTACCTAAACAGGAAGAATTCTATCGCTTATTTATAATCCTTTGTATCGAATTAAGAAGAAAATTTGCCGTTCAGATATAAGTTTCTTTTGATATTGCCACGTAGAAAATAAGGGAAGACCAACTTCAGGTTGAGACAGCAATTTATTTAACGCATGAACAAAGCTATGAAGGATAAACAAAAGATAAGGAATAAGGGAAGTTTACAGAGTAGTAAAATATAAACATAAAAAATGATACTCTGTTGATACTAGTGTAAAATAATATATCTTGTAAAATAATAAATATTTCGCTACAATATTTTATTGCACATCTCTATAACCTTTAAGCTTTTCGAAACCCGTCTACAGGATAATTATTCTATATACAGTTACGAGCGTCATTCCTGGCCTCTGTCACGGTTTGCTTTTTTTTTTTTTTTTTGGAATGGCGCCCTCCTATTGGTCGGCTACGATCACGCCACCTTTGCCCCCCCCCCCCCCCCCCATCATTTGGTGCCGCCAATGTGCGAAACACTTCTGTCACCGTTTGCTTTTGGTTCAGTGGTAGAATGCTCGCCTGCTACGCGGGCGCCCCGGGTTCGATTCCCGGCCGATGCATTTTTTTTTTTTTACAATTTTTAAAACTCATTTATATATTATACAAGAATGACATCCACGGCGCCAATTTATTATTGTAACGAATAGTATTTTAATAAAAGCATTTAATCGGGTAAACCCCGGGCGTTGCCCGGGTCATTCGGCTAGTATATACATAATAAGGACGTTAGCAAATTTTAAACTCTTTTGCCATCTTGAACTCGATCTTTTTAATCATTGAACTCTATAAATTCGAATAATAATCCTAACTCCGCGTTTGCCGGTCCCAAGCCCGGATAAAAAATGAGGAGGGGGAGCAGTAACAAGCTCACTGAAAAACCTGGGCTCAGCTGGCCCGGCTGATAGTACCCTGTAAGGGCTCCTGATCCATGGATACAGAATAAGCAGCGTTTGTACTCCATGTTAGGAGCAGCTGCACATGGCGTCTGTTCCTCATGTCAGAGGCGGCCATTTCTTTTGGAGCTAAGTCGACCTGCCACTGAGTAGTGCTCCCAGTCTTAATGACAAAGGCAGACGCATTCTACTTCACCCAGTCATGATGGTTGTCAAGTCTCAAGCTCTACAAGCTTGATACCCTAATATGATTGGGTGGAGATAAGGAAGAAGAGAGGAAGAAGAAATAATAATCCCTTGATTCAATATTAAAATACAAACATTAGGTCTCCAGCGAAAAGTTTCTTTTTTTCCCCTTGCGGCCTAATGTTTGTATTTTAGATTCTATTAAGGTGTGGTAGGGAAGAGGGGGCAGGTATGATTTCTTTCAGGTATTCAACATCTTTCTTTCAACCAAAGACCTAATATTTTAAATTATATCATTTCAGGTCATTTTAAGGTTGAATTGCAATAAAAAAGAATCTATAATATTTTGAAACAACATATAAATAGCTATTTGTATTCTCAGATAAACCTTTCGAAGATCTAAAAATGTATTTGTGAATATAAATGTTCATATTTGGCCAATATAAAATGTAGATGGGGATAGGTGAAATGGTGTCTGAATATTTTGTACCAAGAATTCATAATTTGAAATGTCTTTTTTAGATATCTCTCTTTAGATGATAAAATATAACTTACACTATTGGGAAAAACTTAGGGAATTAGAAAGTCTTTGATATTGCCGGTTTTCTATTTTATTTTTTAGGAGACAGATGCATATTTGTTCACACTATACTATCTCGTGTGTCTTCAATAAAGGTCATTGTAATATCTTCCAGAGTTATTGTCTGAATCCTGATATACATGCTAAAAGGTACAACTTACTTATGTTTTGAAAAATCGAAACTATTTTAGACGTGTAAGATTCTTTTTGAAATTAAACAATTTATACTGCCCTTACTGCAATGGAAAAATTAATGTTTTGCCAGTTTAAGTTTTGTGTTGTGTCCATGAGTTCATATAAATTTACAAAAACATAATATTTATAATAATCTATTTTCGTGATACATTCTCACATACAAATTAAACTGATTGGAATTGTAAAATTATTTTTGATAATATGTGTTTCTTTTCACATAGATCATCAAAATATATCTTTACAGACCTTATTACAAAGATAAAAGTCATTGAGAGGCCTTGGCTCATCAGTGGTGTAATTAGAGATGTATTCGAAATTTGCATATTCTACAATATAAAATATACCTTTTCCTTTGGATCCCCTACAGTTTGAAGATACACGGGTCTTGGGGATGATTGAATTTCAATGTTTTAAAAATTAGAGACTGAATTTCAGTATAGGTATATTTCAGTAATAAGTTTTTTTTTTTGCTTTTCTGATTTCCAGGAACAGGTTAAAAAATTTTGAAGTCATAACAATTTATAGCGTTTCTCGGAATAGCTCAGCTGCGAAAGCTTTAGAGTGAAGATCTAAATGTGTCAAATTTACGACTCGACGTTTCACGTTCTTCTTTCGTCTTTTTACAGTACAAAGAGTTGAACACGAAGTTGTCGATTCACAAAGTACCACAACTGTATATCTAGCTTTTACTTTTGATACAAATAGCTTTTAATTTTGATACAAATAAATCAACATGTTTCTGGAAATAAGTTTCTTCATTAACGGCGTTTATTATTATTCGTTTTATTCACTTCTGTAGAAGGGAAGATGCCCGAAAGCTTGAGATTGTATTACTAAGAAGAAACTCATCTCCATATATCTGTTGTATTATGTTAAAGTATATCTAGTATGAATCTTTTGAAAATTAAACAATTTCTACTGCCCTCACTGCAATGGAAAAATTAAAGGGAGGGCTTGGATCATCAGTGGTTAACCCTCCCAGCGGTTTCGCCAGTTTATTCTACCATACCGCTGTTATATTTGGAAGTTACAAAAATGCAATATAGCAGCGATGCGGTAGATTAAACTGGCGAAACCGCTGGGAGGGTTCACCACTGATCCCATTAATTTTTCCATTGCAGTAAGGGCAGTTGAAATTGTTGTAGAAAGTAGTTTCGAATATTCAGAACAGATGGCGCGATGATGCATCATGAGGTACTTCTAGATGTAGGTTGTCCGATCGATGATCAGCTAAGGACAGAAGAGAAACTTGTCTATGTCAAATGACAAAGACAGACACAGACATAGGTATAATAGCCCTTGCATCCCATTTCTTTTTTAACTTTATGCCAATTTCGATTATAATATTGTAACATTCAGTTTATTTATCACTGAATTTATGCGGATCGGTGGAAGGATGATCTAAACCGTTGATTTTCGACCGCTACGACCCGGGATCGAATCCCGCATTGGGAACTTTTTTCTGATAAAAAAAAATGCTCCCATGCCCCCCGATTCTTGCAAAAGTCCAACCCCACTAGCGAGTGCAAGTAACCAAACGGGACTATGGCATATTTGTAAGTGCAAAAGTCGAACTGCTTTTCACAAGTGTATACATTTAGTGCATTTACAGTAAAAGCAGTCGCCTACTTCTACCCACCTGGCTTATTATGGCCTGTGCCACGTATACTATGGATTATTTTTGAATTATTTATTTGTAATAATCTGTTGTCCTTGATGATGATTTAAAAACATCTAGAGTCCTTCTTTGCATTTGTAAATTAATTTGATGATCGTTTTTCGGATTTTGTTCTTTAGACTCATAAATAAAATATCTTATCGATAAGTTTTGCTTGCCTAATTAATCACCTTACAATATAATTAATATCAAATCTACAGGAATAGAAGACTTAGTAATCTGACTATACAAGTCTACATGAAGATGCATTAAAGGGTTGTTTCAGAAACAGCTAGGGAGACGGAAAGAGTTAAATCCCGCGACCCGAAGCAGGACTCACCGCAATCCATCACCCAGAGCCTCTCTGATTGCCCCCCGCCTCCTTCTAAACGCTCATCTCCCCCAAAATTGGATCCTGTTTCCTCACACACCACTGCTGTGTATCTGGATAGATATTGTTCCAACTCATTCTCTACAAGATAAAACTTCGCTAATTTAATTATTTAAGTATATGCAATTATATGTAGAATATATATAAATTCAAATATGCAAATTCTATCGAAGAGAAACAATTTTTATTATTATCCTTAGTACACGTGGTATACAGGCTATGATAGTTTGTATAATGTGAAACAATGTGTAGTTATGATAAGATACTATTTGGATTATAGAATAGAAATACAAGGTTTTTTTCAAATTATTTATTATCCCTAGTACACGTGGTACAGGCCATGATAATCATAATGGGTAGAAGTTGGCGACCGCTTTTACTGTAAGTACACCAAATATCTACACATGTGAAAAGCAGTTCGATTTTTGCACTTACAAATGTGCCAGAGCCCCGTTTAGTTACTTGTACTCGTTAGTAGGGTTGGACTAAAAAGATAACGAAATGCGCGTTCGAACCAGGAGCATTTAGATCCTTAGTCTAAAGCTTTCATAGCTGAGCTATTTTGCCTTATTAAAAAGATAGCGAAACATGGGTTCGAACCAGGGGATCTTAAGTATAAAGCTTTCGCGGCTGAACTATTCCGAGGAACACTATAAATTGTTACAACTACGGAATTAGTCTAGAATTTTTAACCTGTTCCTGGAAAGCTGAAAACAAAAATAAAATTACTGAAATATACCTATACTGATATTCATTCTCTAATTTATAAACAGATGGCGCGCTAATGGATCATATTAATATTATTGAAGAATATTATTAAATAATATAATAAAGAAAATATTAAATAATTTATGCCAAGCTCTTTCTTCTTTCCCCCTATTTGATACATTGTAAATAACATTGCTGATTATTGTTACTGTTACTGTTATTTATGCATGGAGAATCTGTATAAGACCAAAAGGTCTTAATAAATCTTTTTTTTTTGTTTATATTATTAATATATATATTAACTATCCCACGCACTTTCTGGCCTTAACTACCCTTTTCATGATTTTTCAGGATACCTGAATGACCAGTTTTTTGGTCGTTGAGGTACAGCTTGTACCACGCTGATGAGGGTCAACAGCCTGAAACTCTTACTTGGTTAGCTTTTCCTGATTAATCAAGAATGCGTATTTGGTATATTCTTGAATAATTGATAATCAACGAATAATTGATATTTATTCTGACAGCGCAAGCCATCAGCAACTTTTAGGTTCAAGATCAGGAGATGTATTTTCTTGATTTATTCACTTTCTGATCCCAGGACAATTTTAACTTTTGTATTATTTTTCATATGAATTAACGTTGATCTAATATGTAGTCTCTATTTCTCTCTCTCAATGATATTCCAAATCATATAGAAGTATTAAAAATAAAAAAGGCATATCCTGACCAGGAGCAAATGTGCTTTACAGAAGGCAGAGCGCCATCTGGTGGAACAGAAATCTTTCTTGTTTTATCAAGAAATTGGGTTGGTCAAATATCAGGGAACAGGCTAAAACAATGTTTAGTTGATTTCTGTTCCACTAGATGTCGCTCTGCCTTTTGTAAAGCACATGTGCTCCTGGTCAGGATATGCCTTTTTTATTTTTAATATCAACATCAGACCTTTTTATAATTTTTTTCAATATTTTTTTTTCACATATAGAAATATAGGAATGGTGTATGAATTTTAATATGAGGAATGCTAAGCTTCAAATAAACATCCCAACATGAAGGCATGATCATATATTTTATGCTACAACTCAACAAAACTGAAGGAATGGTGACTGAATTTTAATATGAGGCACGCTATGCTTCAAATAAACATTCCAACATGAAAGCATGATCATTTATTGTTTTCCACAACTCTCTACAAAACTGAAGGAATGGTGTATGAATTTTAATATGAGGAATGCTAAGCTTCAAATAAACATCCCAACATGAAAGCATGATCATATATTTTATGCTACAACTCAACAAAACTGAAGAATTTCTCTGATATTCTCCAAGAATCAACTTAAACCAGTTTATTTTATTCCCGAAATATGAGTTTAATTAAATTTGTTCTGCTCACACGAGGACGTTAATTAATATCGCACATATCGCCCTGTGTGATAGCTTCCAAAGACAAAATCTCTCTATTCCTAAATATATTCAAAAATAAATTAGAGAAATATAATTAATTTAGAGAAAGAACTTCTAATTAAAAATCCAAATTTATATCAGTTCTATGTAAATTAGAAAATCCCCGTTGAGGGATTTTAATTAAATCCACATTCGCATTTTACTTTTTTTTTCAAAATATATATTAGAACAGATAAATGTGTTTATAAAATCAGTTTTATTTAAAGAATAACAAGATCGGTGGATGCTACTACCTATATATAGCTAGCTGGCTACTACCTATATATAGCTAGCTGGCTACTACCTATATATAGCTAGCTGGCTACTACCTATATATAGCTAGCTGGCTACTACCTATATATAGCTAGCTGGCTACTACCTATATATAGCTAGCTGGCTACTACCTATATATAGCTAGCTGGCTACTACCTATATATAGCTAGCTGGCTACTACCTATATATAGCTAGCTGGCTACTACCTATATATAGCTAGCTGGCTACTACCTATATATAGCTAGCTGGCTACTACCTATATATAGCTAGCTGGCTACTACCTATATATAGCTAGCTGGCTACTACCTATATATAGCTAGCTGGCTACTACCTATATATAGCTAGCTGGCTACTACCTATATATAGCTAGCTGGCTACTACCTATATATAGCTAGCTGGCTACTACCTATATATAGCTAGCTGGCTACTACCTATATATAGCTAGCTGGCTACAACGTATATATAGCTAGCTGGCTACTACCTATATATAGCTAGCTGGCTACTACCTATATATAGCTAGCTGGCTACTACCTATATATAGCTAGCTGGCTACTACCTATATATAGCTAGCTGGCTACTACCTATATATAGCTAGCTGGCTACTACCTATATATAGCTAGCTGGCTACTACCTATATATAGCTAGCTGGCTACTACCTATATATAGCTAGCTGGCTACTACCTATATATAGCTAGCTGGCTACTACCTATATATAGCTAGCTGGCTACTACCTGTATATAGCTAGCTGGCTACTACCTATATATAGCTAGCTGGCTACTACCTGTATATAGCTAGCTGGCTACTACCTATATATAGCTAGCTGGCTACTACCTATATATAGCTAGCTGGCTACTACCTATATATAGCTAGCTGGCTACTACCTATATATAGCTAGCTGGCTACTACCTATATATAGCTAGCTGGCTACTACCTATATATAGCTAGCTGGCTACTACCTATATATAGCTAGCTGGCTACTACCTATATATAGCTAGCTGGCTACTACCTATATATAGCTAGCTGGCTACTACCTATATATAGCTAGCTGGCTACTACCTATATATAGCTAGCTGGCTACTACCTATATATAGCTAGCTGGCTACTACCTATATATAGCTAGCTGGCTACTACCTATATATAGCTAGCTGGCTACTACCTATATATAGCAAGCTGGCTACTACCTATATATAGCTAGCTGGCTACTACCTATATATAGCTAGCTGGCTACTACCTATATATAGCTAGCTGGCTACTACCTATATATAGCTAGCTGGCTACTACCTATATATAGCTAGCTGGCTACTACCTATATATAGCTAGCTGGCTACTACCTATATATAGCTAGCTGGCTACTACCTATATATAGCTAGCTGGCTACTACCTATATATAGCTAGCTGGCTACTACCTATATATAGCTAGCTGGCTACTACATATATATAGCTAGCTGGCTACTACATATATATAGCTAGCTGGAGGTAGATATGTAAATAGGGTTAATGGAAGTGTGGTCTAAACCAGGGGTCGGCAAACTTTTGAGTCGGAAGAGTCAAAAATTACAATTTACAAAATTTCAAAGTTTTTAAAGAGCAACAAAAGGTTTTCTTTCAAACAATAAATAACACTCGCATAAATAATATTTGCGTATGGAACTATATATAGAGCCGCAGCTACACATCCAAAGACCGCTATTCGCATTGGGAACTTTTTTATTAATTAAAATATATATATATTCAATAGCCCCCGATACTTGTAAAAGTCCAACCTCACCAGCGAGTGCAAGTAATCAAAACGGCGCTCTAGCACATTTGTAAGCGCAAAGTCGAACTGCTTTTCAAATTGTAGACATGTGGTGCACTTACAGTAAAAGCAGTCCCCAACTTTTACCCACAATAATTATCATGGCCTGTAAGATGTGTACTAGGATTAATAATAAAAAAAAGATATGTAGATAGGCGAGGTTGATAGAAAATAATTCTTTTCCAGTTTCCTTGAGCACATGTTCTAGGATACAGTCTATTAGAGATTAACATGCAGTGGTGGTGCTGTCTTGTCCATGGAGCAGATCAGATTGGTCCGTGCACCCTAATCACAATACCCGCCAACTGAGGTGTCCGTATGGATGTCCTCTTCTGGATTAATGTCTGCCATATAGAGGGCTGCAAGGATGGCCGGTATATGTGGTCCGAAGTGAGTTGGGTGTTGTGACAGTTATTTATTTTTCCTATAGGATTTAGTCATGTCTGGGTTTATCTTAATTCCTTTAAAATGTCCTGTTCTTATTCTTGAAATTCTTGTCGTTAATTCTATGTTAATGTTGAGGTTGCATATGAGCTGGGGTATTTTGGTTTTTATAATGACGTTTGATTTTCCTATTGTATTTGCGTCTTTCAATGTTATTGAACCGGTTTCCAGTGCCTGTTTTGTCCTTCCTTCGCTAGGCCATCAGCCTGTTCATTGCCCTCTATTCCAACATGGGCTTAATCGAAAAAACCAGGACGATAGGAAAAGAATTTGACTCTGGAAGTTTTATTTAACACACACAAGAACTTTAGACTCAAAGTCACGGTTACCATCCTCACACTGAAGGGAAAAAAACGCATATATATTTTTATTTATTTATTTTTCTCTCTATTTACAGGTGTTACATTCGAGCACAGCTCACATTGTACTGGCTTTTTATACAGGGCGAGTTGGTATAGTAGAGGTGGCCCCCCCAGATCTTGCAGGCGAGCAAAAAAAAAATCCCTCGAGCCGGATTTGAACCAGCGACCTAAGGATCACCATTGATACATCTACAGTCCTCCGCTCTGCCAACTGAGCTATCGAGAGGTGATACAGAAAAGACTAACAAGCGTTATTGTAAGTTTATAAACTCAAAAAGGAGTTTTTATGGTAATCGAGAGCTGATGTTTACAACTAACAAACGATATATATTTATAGACAGTATAACACACAACAGAGTAACAAGTTACTGGTCAAAAACAATAATAATTATATTATTGGTATATTTATAAATGCGCTAGAATTGTCAATTTCAACACAATTATTAGTTATATTTATTTTATTTCTATTTTTAGAGATAAATTACTACAACCACTAAACCACTAATCCTTAACAACGCTATTTATATAGTGGTAATATTCAG